CTTTTAAGCTGCACACGTCGCCATGCGCCTTTTATGGAACGCCAGCGACTGCATTGGCCAAAATAACACTCAGCGGTCATGGCACAACCGGGGTTCAAACGTGCGCTCCCTACGTCGGTGTCCGATACACCAACCACTTGTTCATTACGCCCCCTCACATCGAGGTCTGATATGGTGTGTATTAGCTTCACACGTGCAAGGCGGATGCGACACGAAATGCACACCTCAAGCCCGGCCAGCTGCCGCCGCCGTCAGCCAATCACGTCACAGTGATGTCATGAGCGGCACGGGTGTTGCGCGGGACTTCCCGACGCCGCATGATTAGGCGCATGCTGGCCGTGCTACCGCACCTGACTGGGGAGTGGGGGGGGGGGGGGGGGGGGGAGGGGGCGGCAGGACGTACCGAACGTAAGGGCTCAGTATGATCGGGGGAGCGGCTGCCGAAACGCTTCTAGTCAAAGAATTCCGATCACTGAATCTGATGATGCGTGCAAGCAACGGAGCTTCACAGCGTGGTTTGAGCCATACTTTTAGGATGGATGTTCTTACGCCCACCCCGGCATCACGTGCTGCGTTGGCGTCACATAGGCTGCTTGCTGAATTGGGCTGAGTTCGTGAGTGTCGCAGATGACGAGCAATTTTCGTGACGTCACGGTTTAAGGGTCTGCCCGTAGATTACGTTAAGCATGGAAGGGAAAGAGGAGAGAAGGGGTCTTGGTGGAACGCAACCGAATCATAACTAGCGGAGGGGCACAACGTCGCGCTCAGGCGCGGCTGTAAAACATGCTAACTTGTCTGTAAGCGCTCCCAAAACCTAACTACGGGTGTCGTTGGTTTCCTTTTTTGGCAAGCAACACGCCGTCTTTATTTTGCGACTCCAGAGGAATTAGGGACCAGTCTCTTGGCACGCTACGCTCAACACAGCGTAACCAGGAGGAGCATGGAAGGGGGTAGGCTCGGTAAGGGGGTCACCCAGGGTAACCAAAGCGTAACTATGGACAATGGCTAAAAACGACATTAAAGACGCAACACAATTAAGGGCCCACCCATCAAAATCTTGCGGTTTTAAACTAGCGAATAACCGGCGGTCATTCATCGCGGTTGTCGGCATATTGCACGCCTCATGGTTGTGCACAAAATGTTTGCATGCCGGAATGTTTATTCTTGGGTACCAGGTCCGGCCCACGTAACGCCCCAGAGCTAACAGCTTCAATGTTGTCAGCATGGCGCCCTGCGATGGGCAGAATGCAGTCCGAGTACAGTGGCATGATACCGAGTACCGTAGTGGGAGAAAGATGTTCGTAGGCGCTGGGTACTTGAGACGCCTGAAATAGCATAGGTGAAACAGCGGCCGTACCATTTTAACAATGGATCAGCAGTGCATGCAAAAGAGGGGGATGGGATGGGGGGGGGGGTTAGGGGAGCAATTTCCCCGATCCCTAATCTTTTATTGTCGGGAATGGAAGCCAATTTTACGTGCAAAGACCGTTCCATAAAAGAAGCGGGTGAGCACATTTTTGTTTGCCATTCGTATGCCTTTGTAAGGGTTGCGCTCCCCCACAATGATGAGTTAGGCCCCTTATATTTTGGGCTGGAATATTACACAAATGTAGGAAAGGACTGGCCATCACACATAGGCGATCTGCTTCCATCCTTATTCGTAGTCGCGTCACCATGGAGGGTAAACCTATGGGACTTAAACAACATCCTCATTATCATGTCCTCAGTTTAAGTGTAAATTGAAATATTGGGTAAGCCGTTGTGTAATTCGACTTCTTTTTTCCGTCCCATGTGGGCCCAGACGCCTTTTCCCCCAACTAAACATGATATGGACGCCACTGGTTTTGTGTTGTAAGATTTCATGAGACAATACAATTGGGTATCATTTCTTATTGATTTTAGGGCGGCATCGACAGTTCATATCATGGACCCAGCTCAATTACAAAATGAGAAACCGTATATAACAGAAAAACTTTGCCAGGACATATTTTTAACATGATTCTGTGCCGAACAGATCATTGCTAGCGCTCTTAACACACTATCGCATTATTCTAATACATCCTGAACGAACCCATTTTGTCTCGGTTTATTATCCAGATAGCCTGAAAAGATCTTCCACCATGCTATGCGACACACGACAGTCGGCGCCCTGTAAACAGCATTATCAAGCCAACGGCTAAATAGCCCTCGTTGGCGAGCCATGTCTGAATACTTATTCTGGAAGGCGAACCTTCCACTACGCTTTTCACCAAGTGACGTATATGGTCGGCGTAGCTTCAGCGCTCTGCCGAGGTAGCGCTTCCACCACGACGATTAGTGTCCCTAACCGGCAATGTGTGTTCTTTTTGCGAACATTTTTTGCCCATTGTAGCCAACCGGCTTCTAGAACGACGGTGTCTGTAGATCGCCTCTCCACTAACTATTTTTGCCCAAAGATGACCTATGGCCTCAAGCAGCCCGATTAACTCTGATAATACATGACAACATTGATTGAAACGCTGGCATTGTGTTCAATGCCTTAGTTTCGGCATTAAAGGGAATGCTCCCCATTTGAACATTTCTGAGCCATCAGATATAATGAATTAAGCTGACTTATGCACCTTGGTATACGTTATAAGTGGAAAAGGCTGCTGGAAAAACACAAAATCCCTGTTTACTTAAAATGCTCCTCAATATGTCATTGACTACGTTGTCGCATCCTGCGAGCCACTTGACGGTCGTTATGTCTGGAAATCGCGCTCATGAACATCAGATGTGAGCGACTCGACAACTATATTTTCCTTCGTGTGGATCGCTGCATGTCCAACGAAATAGCAGGATATAAATGACATTATTGTGGCGTCATAGATGCCTGGATTAGCTTGAAATAGTCTCCCAAAAGTCTGCACATCTTCGCGGGCGTGTAATTAAGAAACTATGGGGGTTGAGGCCTTAACAAGGGTAGGGCTGTAAACTGCATCGAATAATCTCAACGCGCAGCCGGTTGGATACCCTTTGCTCAGGTGAGGGTCCATTCGAGCCCGATACCTCAAGAACAAAGAAAGTTAAAGACACCAGACTCACAGGGTGTGTTGGTCTCTACATGAACTCACTAGTATCAAAATTTGACGCTCCCAGGTTATGATCTTTGAGTCAAAAAAGTCAAGCAGTGCCAAACTCTAATTGGTGTTCAAAATGGGCCAGAATTTAGACACCTGCTCTACGAAAAAGATAACCGTTCATTCAAGGTCCGCGGCCTTGTTTGACCTTTCGCAGGTCATGGCGGCCAAAATCGTACAAAACTTCTATCGATTTTTGCATTTGAATAAGCGTCGGAGATTGCGCTAAGTAGCTTGTTCCTAAAAACAAAATGCTGGCCTGCGTCATTTTAGGTCAGTGACCTTTTCTGACCTTAGGACTTCCGTGGAAGAGATCCTATTATCAATATATTCCAAATGAACACCAGAAACTACTGCTTACAGCAAGCTCTAGAGTAATAAAGCAGGTTGGATTCGATCATGGTCTGACCTTCATACCTGACCCTAGGTCGATGGAGTTTGTCCAAAGAAAATATCTTAAAGATGTATGGCTTCGTCTAACACTCTGCTGTTGAATCATATTTAACAATTCCCTAGAAACTGTCTCCGGAAAATACATGACATGGCTTTGACCTACCGTAGGTTAGCGACCTTAAAAGGTACAGCTAAATTTGATACCAGTTTGATACCGAACGATCCGCTATCTAAATTGTCCATGTACAGCTATCCAAAATTTGGCGGGGCTACGCCGCGCCGTTCGGTAACCCTTCCGGAAAAACCTCTGGAAGGGGGGGGGGGGGGCTGCGAGGGAAATTAACCCTCGCCCAAGCGCGTGCTAAAGACAGTCCAAATCAAAAGCTCCCGCAGCGGGAGTACGACAAGATAACTTAAATAACTTAACACGCGCTCGGATGGGGAGTTAAATTGACCCCCCCGAAGGTTTTTCCAGAATAGTTTCCGAACGGCACGGCGTAGCCGCGCCAAATTTTGCATAGCTGTAGACAATTGAATAGCAGATCGTTTGACGTAAGAAAATTTAGATGTAACCTGTAAGGATGCTGACCTATGGCAGGTCAAAGTCAGACCATGGTTTCAGCGAAGACAATTTCTAGGAAATCCTTCAATCTGATCAAACAACGGAGTGTTAGACGAAGCCATACGTATCTGAGATGCTATCTTAAGCAACACAGCAGTTGAATGAGCAAATTAAATTGACCTAAGGTCAGGTATGAAGGTCACACTAAGGTCAAAACCAACCTGTTTTATTACTCTAGGGCTCGCTGTATGGGATAGCTTCTGGTGCTCATTTTGAGTTTATTGATAGCAGGAACCGCATTATATGCCCTCCATGGACTACTTAGAGGTCAGAATAGGTCATTGACCTAAAATGACTCAGGTCAACATTTTGTTTTAGGAACATACTGCCTAGCGTAATCTTTGTCGCTTAGTCAAATGCAAAACTCAAAGCGATCTTGTATGATTTTGGTCATCATTGAATAGGTCAAACAAGGTTACTGACCTTAAATGAGAATGTGACCTTTTGCTTAGAAGCGGTTATATACGTTCTGAGGGCACTTTGGAGACCAACCTGAAACTTGACCTTGTTTGACCGTTTTTGACCCGAAGGTCATGACCTAGGAACCTGCAAGATCTGACCTAAGTGAGTTCACGTACAGGTTAACACACCCTGTAACTTTGGTGTCTCTAGCTGTCTTAGTTACCGAGATCTTATGGGGGTCAAATTGACCCCCACCCCAGCGCAGGGTATCTGGCCGGCCACCCCAGCGCGTGTTAAACTCGCGGTAACCGGTCTTTTCCCCACAAGTCCAGGCTCTGCCAGGCTTTCTGCCTCGCTTTGACGCCACTCAGGGACGGCTGAGCTCGCGGTCGTTCCACGAAGGTGACGAAACGGGCGGCTGGAAAGTTAGCAACCCGCTCCGTTCAGCAGGCGGCTTTATAGCGGCCGCGCAGGAGAGGCGCAGCAGTGCAGGGAGCGACCGTGCAGGAGAGACGTAGCACTGCCTGGAGCGACCGCGCAGGAGTGACACAGCAGTGCAAGGAGCGACCGCACAGCGCTGGACATTGACACGGCATCTGTTTACGCTTTACAGTCAAGGTGAGTGCATTTCATGCTTGTGCGAAGTGGTGATGGCCAACAGCGGCCAGAGGAGAGATATGATACCGGTTGGCGTGTAAAAGATCAGCTTCGATTACAAAGTTCCAACTCGCATTCGATTTGCCGATATGGATGCGCTGTCCAGAATCTACTTGGCTTAGCAAGCAAGTAGCAAAGCACAATTCTCTGTTTTGTAAGCATGCCCTCAATGTGACACGATTTGATCACGTCATCGTGCCCTGCACAACATTGAGAGCCAGTTGACGGCCGTTACATCTGGAAATCATGCTCACGAAGGCCAGGTATGAACGCCTCGACAATTACCTTGTCTTGGCCTGATCGCCGCCTGGCCAATGGGCTGGCGGGATTTGAATGATGGTACTATGACGGCATGAATGCCAAGATGGCCTTGAAATGCTCTCTCCGAAGCACTCTCCCTATTTTCGCGGGCGTATAGTTCAGAAACTAAACGACGTTAGGTGTTAAGAAGGGCGGGGCTGTGAGCAGCACCAAAGCAGTCTTAAAGATGGTCTTTCAGTTCAAAACCCCATATAAATGTGGAACACTTGTTTTAAATGCCCCGCTGTACAAACGTCGAATTCCGTCGCTAAGCCCCGCGCCACTCTCCTCAGATGGGGCCTCTGCTGATGGCGGTAGTCGGGGCGATGCTGTCGCACGGCGGCACGCTCGCCCGACCACAGACTGAAAAAGACGCGTTCCTCGGCTCCCTGCTCGGCGACACCAGCACCAGTCCCAAGGACAACGGCCAGTTCATCGCCGGCCTACTTGGCGACACGTCGCCGCCAAAGGAAGTGGTGCGCTGCGAGCGAGGCCAGCACGTCTGCACGCCCTACTTCCGCTGCGACGAGGCGAACATCCTCAGCGATGGACTCGGCGGGTTCGACCTGCGCATCGGCAAGCAACAGTTCGAGAGCGAATTTGAATTTATCACGCATTCGGAGTGCCCGCGATACGGCGATGTCTGCTGCACGCGACCGATTGCCGATCCCGATGTCTCTGAACCATACGTGCCGCAGTGCGGCCGCCGCAACCAGCTCGGCATCGGCGCCAGAATCCTCGGCTTCAAAGACAACGAGACGCAGTTTGGCGAGATCCCCTGGATGGCGGCCGCGCTGTACGTGGAGAAGGTGGACGGCGCGGAGCGCAACTTGTTCGAGTGCGGCGGCTCGCTGATTCACCCGCAGGTGGTGATGACTGCCGCCCACTGTGTGCACAGCCTGAACGCGACAGCACGCCTGCGCGTGCGCCTCGGCGAGTGGGACACGCAGCAGAAGAGCGAGCGCTTTCAACACGTGGACGTGGACGTGGCACATTTCGTGGCGCACGAGGATTTCCATCCGCAGCGCCTCAGTGACGACTTGGCGCTGCTCTTCCTGAAGGATCCCGTTGAGCTACAGGAGCATATCGACACGCTGTGCCTGCCCGACCCGGATGTCGTATATGACCAGGCCGAGTGCATCGCCACCGGTTGGGGCAAGGATGCCTTCGTTGCCGGCCAGTTCCAGACCATACTGAAGCAGATCGAGCTGCCGCTCGTGCCGCACGCCGCCTGCCAGACTGCGCTGCGTAAGACGCGGCTGAAAAAGTACTTCGCGCTGGATCGCTCTTTCACGTGCGCCGGCGGTGTGGGCGGCCAGGACACGTGTACCGGTGACGGCGGCTCGCCGCTGGCCTGCCGCGACCCGCGCGACCCCGACCGCTACATCCAGCTGGGCGTCGTCTCGTGGGGCATTGGCTGTGGCCTGGAAGGCGTACCGGGCGTGTACGCCGATGTCGCACAACAGGTACCCTGGATCCGTGAGCAGGCGGCTTTGGCCGGCCTGACCCTGTAGGACGTCAGGAGCCGGCCTCAGGAGCCGGCCGGACAGACGTCCCGGTGGAGGCGGGAGGCGAGCGTGGGTCGGGACTCGCTGTGATATGGAAGCCGAAGTCGGCTTTGCAGGCCGTCTGGAGCCAACAACAGGGTAGCTGTAGATGCGTTGGCCAGGATACCCGCCGCGACGCTGTGCTTTGACGAGAGTTCCCCTGCTTTCTTGGCCGTTGTACTTGACATGCCACCACTTGTTGACTGGCATGGAACTCTCTACGCTTTGGTATCACGTACTAGATGAAGTGTATTGGCGAAGAGATGCTCGAAACTAAAGGTAATTTTGCGCTTCGTTTAAGAAATAAGCAAGCATCATAAATGCTCACCAGCTATACCACAGCAGCCCACGTACCAACATATGAGACATTACAGTGAGCACCGGGCATAGCTCTCTGAGGTGATTCCAAACAACCGCGCATTCTCCAAAGCGACGTCACCGCCTGAGCAGCCTCCTGAAGGGACTCACGCAGCCCTGCACTGTGACCAGTGAAGCATGGCCTGATTACTGCACGTACAGTGATCCGTAGACGGTCACTGCACGGGACATGACGCGTGACCGATCACTGCACGGGACATGACGCGTGACCGATCAATGCACGGACAGTGACCCGTGACCGATCACTGTGTAGGTACACACAGTATACACAGTACACGTATATACACGTATACACAGTGATGGGTCACGCATCCCGTCCAACATCGGTGGGGCTTCCCGGCATAGCGTGAGACAGTATGTAAACCGGCCATGGTTTGAAACTGCCCCCGCCAAACCAAACACGACCATTGGGCCGAGAAATCAGTACGGTTATTAGTACAGTACGGCCCGACGCTCCAGTTGACCGGCCCGCATCAACAAAGCAGCGCTAGTTGGTGACAGGTTTGTTGACCGGGGAAAAGCGGCGTGTGTAGCCCTGCCAGGTGGGATTAGACGCCCCCCCCCCCACCCCCGCCCCACCTTCGTATTGGCAATGACGGAGAGGTCAATCCATCCTCCGAAATTAATCATCATCAGTTACTGGTCATGCGTCATTCCCGGCCGGCACTGCGTCTCGGCCGTGCTCGGCGCTTGGCCCGCGTGAAGCGAAGAACTGGTGTGTCAATATGCGCCAGTGAGTTTGTAAATACAGGTGACGGTCTGCTCTTTAAAGGCTGATTTAGCCAGGCGGCGAAAGGGCACTCGTGCCCGACGTGGGATGGTATGGTGTCCGAGACCGTTGACGCGCACTTCGACACGACAGCTCGCTCGTTAGCCCGCGCCAAGGCTGTCTTGATTTTGCCGTTGGAGGCGGCCACGTGGAGGCGCCAGGGCTCGTCATGGCCTTCGCCTGTCTCACGGCGGCCTGACGCGGCGTACGGGCGACGCCTGCATATTCCTGAAGGTCACCCGTGGCGTTAGTCTGTTGGCTGGTTAGACGGGTTGTCTTTTCCAGTTCCCTTAACTTTTCCAGACAGCCCGCGCGGCCGGGCCCTCACTAAGCCCCGTCCAGCGCATACGCACGAATTCCTTTAAAGGGGGCGCGTGTGCTAAACCCGTTTTCCGTGCATTTTCTGTTGCATTGCTTGACCCGGCTCGACTCACTGACTGATCAGAGCACGAAGTCTTTCCTTGGTTGGCAAGGGCCCCTCTCGTCCGGGAGAGATCCGCCACGGGCACCGGCGGCTGGGTGCTGGGAGTACGGCGTTGAACGGTCATAGGCAGACGGGATCTCCGGGCTTTTAGTCAGCGGTCGGAGGGAGAGATTACCTGCCGTAAGTGCTGAGACATCGCTGTGAGATGCGCCGAGCCCGCTACGTATCGAGAGACGCTCCGGGATTCTGCGAGACCAGGGGAGGTCGCTAGCAAGGCGTCGGCCGGGGCGGCGCTTGGAAGGAAAGGCGGGACGTGGCCGAGTGGCACGACTGGACTACGGCAGGGTTGAAGAGTCAGACGACCGCAGTCCTGCTTTTACGCGGATGTATTTTTGTGGGTAGCGTAACTCGAAGGCACGGCTTCGCTTTTTGGACTAGAGCAGGTTGACTGGTTTCGTTGTCTCTCACTCGACCTCAGGCGTGGCGGCATGAAGAGGCATGGGTCATGGTATGACCAAGGACCAGTGGAGACCGCAGGGACCAAGGACCAAGGACCGACCGATATTTGTTGATGTACAACGCCTTGGAAGTAAGCGGGGCACAGCCTGTTCTCTTCCGGCGTGGTATGTGCCAAGCCTTATGAACTCTTGATGAGGAGATGTTCGTGACGGATAGAGATCCCGCCACCGACACTTATAGGAAGGGTGACAAAGAACCGGGTGGTCGGGTCGGGCAGGCCGGTCAGGTCGAGCCTCCCAGAGTGCGCCGGCAGTGTACAACGGCGTAAACGCAGGTTACGTCGGGGGTTCGCTGTCTGCCGAGGGGCTCCACCGCCCCATCGGACGCCCTGTCTCCCTCCAGGCCCTGAGGGACGCTGCCTGGAGCAGCGCCTTGCAAAGCTCACTTCGGTTGACGGGAGGCGAGGGCGCAGAAGCCCCGGAGGCTACGTCTCCGTGCTGGCCGAGGCGCTACCTAACTCGCGTGCGCGGCAGCGGGAACCTGCGAACAGTGGGCGTGGCCGAAGGGAAGTTGAGCCGCCCACCGTGGGTGAAGCGCAGGGAGCGTCGTGCGAAGACAGAGCCGTCACCCTAGAAGTCAGCCGAGGGAACGAGTCGTCATCCAGCTTCGGCCACCTGATGTCGGGCCAGTAGCTGCGTCGGTGCCAAGCTAAGTCAACATTATATATATATATATATATATATATATATATATATACGTATATATGCATATATAGGTATATATAAAAGGCTTATACTTGGCTTTATTGTATGTTTTAAATGTGATGAATAGACTGAATTTAGCTTAACTTGGGCCCCAGCAAACCTGCTAATTATGTCCAGGCGCTGGAGAAGCGGTGGGGTCATCCCGGTATGAGCCGACAATGAGCGCAGTGACATGCGCGCCAGCGGATGTGTGTGCTTAGAGTGAATGTGGTGGGGCGCCGAATGCACGAAGTCTGTGTTGATTAGTTAAGGCGAGGAAGAGGGGGGACTACCAGGGCTGGTATCCAGTGGGCCTTTGCCAATGCAATTCGCCGGTTCGTGGTACTGCTGCCATTTGCGTACGTTATCAATGCATCTGGTTAGGTTTTTACCCAGTTTGAATATCATCATCAGCTAAAAGGTGGAGGTGGGGTACCGTATTTCAGGGCGCACAGCCATTTACGGGCAGACAGTGGTTCATGGTGCCTGATCGGACCTACCATCCAGCCAATGTCCCGGTCACCCGCTTAACCCTAGCTCTGTGGCCAACATGAGTGTGTACTGAGGTCGGGTGTACAGGAGACATAACGTGGCGAGTCGTGCGCTAACATCATCTGGCTCGTATGCGGACCGGTGGGCTACTCAGTATAAATTCGTTCTTGTGGGGAGGCGTGACAGCCGCAGCCGGCGGCGCACACACATTAAGCGGCGGCCAGGCAGTAGCGCAGCGCACGCCCCCCGGCTCAGAACCCCCCCCCCCCCCACAACTGCACTGAGCAGCGACTCGTGACCGATCACTGTACGGATTGGGATTGTACGACCGTGTGTGTTTTTTTCGGGCGGTGAGCTGGAATCGCTTTTGGACTAGGGTGGGAGTGAAACATTGCATCGCAAGCAGGCCGCACAGGAGTAAAAAATTCCATTTACAAAAGTGGGAACTTATGAGTCAGTGAGAGAAGCCCCAGAAAACAAAGACATACGTCTCAAGTTGGCATGGATGTAACATCGGAAACATGACAAACCTGTTTTTTAACATCTTAGGCTATTACAGTGAAACAGAATACTTTAAGGAGTATTAAGTTCATAACAGTGTAATAAGCATAAAAAACTATGTAACATCAGTCTTCTGATGCCGCACTTTGCAATTCCTCTTCAGATCATTTTTAACACAAAACAAAGCAAAGGAATTCGACAAAGGAACAGCAACAAAAAATTTAACAAACATACAGCATTCAAACAAAAAGGCCTTGGAATTCTGCACTTCAGCACGTCACCAAATCGAACTCCGCAGCCATACCATGTGCCGAACATCACCCCAACTCACCCCACCTATTTCTTCACAGCAGCACTTGTGATAAAACATGAGAAATGCCATTTTTGTCTGGTTTCAACTTGCATTTTGGTTCAAATAATTTTTGTCCGCTCGTTAACACCAGACAGTTGAAAACACACAAATCAAAATCCCTCAAATCACTTTGCACAACTTATTCTGATTGTCATGGTTAGCCTCTGTCAAGGGCAATGGTGAGTATGCTTCACAAAACAATCTCTCTCCTCCAAACTTAACATAGCTTATAGATGGCCATAAAGCTGGTTTTACTACTTGTCATTTCAGTTGCAACAAAGGAATCCATTAAGATCTTGTTCTTAGTGTTTAATGACTTAACGTTTGAGATGTCAGCCTCACATTATAAAATGAAATGGTCTATTTGCTAAAAACCAACATTGGTCTCATATTGTAACTGCTATGCAGCTTAGGGTATTCCAATCTTAAAAAATATATTGCACATCAAGAGTACAGCTATTTGCCAGTCCGCAAACTATGGGAACTATGGACGGCATCTCGTTAAAGCAGACATCAGGGACCACTTGAACAAATTGGAGGCAAATGGTCAACTTATGTTACAAAATACCTTTGATCACATGCCTTGTGGCACCATAATTTGTCTTAAGATCAAAACTCAATGGATTTAAAAAGAAAATAATTAAACCTGCTCACAAATCATGTGATGAAAGCATGAAAGGTTAGCAACTAGTTGCTCAACTGGAAAAACTTGCTGGCTTTTCAAGATTTCCGTGAAGTCAACGATTTATTCAGCGAATTATTCAGCGACGAGCTCCAATTTTTCTGAAAAAGGTCTGGTGGTCGTTTGTGGCATGAGAACACCAAAAATGACCCTCATTTTGCAATATCATGTGACCTTCAAGGTCAAAAGCTCGGTCAAAGGACGGGGAACTCAATATCACCCAAAAATTATTGGCCGATATTCAAGTTTTAGATGTCAGGATATTCACCACAGAAGACTGCCGTCCGTCAAAGGGTCCTGAACTCTCAAGGTCATCCTTCAAGGTCAAACGCGGACTCAAAGGCCGGGGAACTCGACATCACCCAAAAATTACCTGCCGATTTAAACTTTCAGCTGTCAGAATACCCACTACAAGAAGAACTCGCGTCCGTGAAAAAATACTGACCCCTTAAAGTCATTCTTGAAGGTCAGATGCAATCTAAAAGGACGGGGAACTCCATATCAGCCAAAAATTACTGGCCGATTTTCAACTTGCGTCAGAATATTTCCCACAGATAGAACAAGCGTCTGTGAAGAAGTTTTGGCTTCTCAAGGTCATTCTTCAAGCTCAGACGCGGATTCAAAGTGCGGGGAATTCCATATCACCCACAAATTACCAGCTGATTTTAAGCCTGGTAATTTTAAGCCTGGTAATCATTAAGCCAGAATATTCATCACCGAAAGAACCAGCGTCCGTGAAAAGGTCCTGATCTCTTAAGGTCATTTTCTCGAGGCCATTCTTCAAGGTCAAACGTGGGCTCAAATGACGGTGAACTCGATATCACGCAAAACTTACCGGACGATTTAGACTTGCAAGCATCAGAATATTCATCTTGAATATTGGCCTTTGAAGAAATATTATAATATTAAACTTGAATGGTGACCTTAAGAGGTCAGGACTTTTTAACGGATGCTGTCTCTTTCCGTAGTAAATATCCCGACATTTGCACCCTGACCCTGTAAGACGTCAGGAGCCGGCCTCAGGAGCCGGCCGGACAGACGTCCCTGTGGAGACGGGGGGCGAGCGTGGGTCGGTACTCGCTGTGATATGAGAGCCGAAGTCGGCTTTCCAGGCGGTTGGGAGTCGACGGCAGGGTGGTTGTAGGTCAGTTAGCCGGGATGCCGGCCGCGACGTTGTGTTTTGACGAGAGTTACCCTGCTTTCTTGACCGTTGCACTTGATATGCCACCACTGGTTAACTGGCATGGAACTCTCCGCGATTTGGTATCACGTGCTGGATGAAGTGTATTGGCAAAGAGATGCTCGAAACCAATGGTAATTTTGCGCTTTGTTTAA